AGGAGAAGTTATTAGAGGGTGGAGAGGGAGGGAGGAAGGAAGACAAAAAGGCACATAGAGGAGTACAGTACAAACTGGCCGACTGACAAACACCCTTACTCCTCGAACCCGCTCTGACGTTTTTTTGTCACCTGTTTAATCCTCACCCCAATTATGCGGAATGCCTTCGTTTTAAATGCTAGAGTGGAAGGTTATCCAAAAGATTTTGTTTTTACAGCAAAGTGATCCCTTACTTGATATTATAAATAGCTTTTCTCTAACATTAACCTATTTTTACACCCCACCTGGCCCAAATATAAAGCCACTTATTTTGACGGCAAATTTGCGATAGGTTCCGCAATCTTTAAAGCACATTTGAAGGCAGAATAGAATTTGCTTAATTGCTTTTTTGGCATTTTGATGCGGTTTCTGACGGTGGAAGTCCTTTTTATCGGCAAGCTCAAGTCGATCGGCCACTTTTTAAATACACCCTTGGGAAATTTGTACTTATTTCCCAAAACAGCATGTTTTGATACTTTAATTGTACCCTTTTAACATTCAATACCGGCTTTTTTAACGCCGGTTTTTAATGCAAACGAGCTAACTTTAGAACAGAAATATTTTTTATTGACAAGAATAATTTAAAATGCCTTTTAAGGTCTGCGAAAGTGGAATAGGTGGGTATCATGGTGCTAAAAAATGGGTTGATTGGTCCTGCTCAATGTGGACCGCTTTGTAGAGCTCGTAGAGGGACTTAATGTCTGCTTTTATGCCCATTTAACTTCGCAGGCTCTTTATTCTTTGAGCCTTGTGTTTCTATTCTCCCGTACACTAATAACAATGGGTATAGTTTATTACGGCTACAGAGAGGGTCTGGAAAAATGTAAGTTGCTGGTTGTCAGATTAAGAACGACAATAAATGGTGAATAGATAAATTTTACCAATTTTATCTGTCTGTTTCATAATTTCTATCCTAGCGCTGTAATAATCACTGCATCTGGACTTGCTTTGAGCTGGAAGAACCCATCGTATGCATATCTGGTGTCGACCATCAAGATTTCTTGCCTGGAGTCTCTTGGGTATCAGAAATCAAAAGCCAACGCATACATTCTGCGTGTAGTTTCCTTGGGTTTTGCGGACGTGTTCCACCTAGAAGAAGAATTTTATGAATTCTGAGATATACTACTGTTTCTGGAGCCCTTTGATGTGATACTATGAAATTCTGCAAATAATCCAAGTTATGTTTGAGAAATAGGGTCTCGTCCCCGTCTCCTCAACCTCCTCCTGCTCTCCTTTAGGGAACAACATCATCCCATTGCCAAAGTTGGTCCACTCCACCCATCTGCTATCTATAAAAGCAGTTAATTTTGCTACTTTGCTATTTTTTTGGCAACTATGGTTGTCCAAATGCTTAAACTAACATAATTTTATTTCCTTGAAAATAAGGAGGTAAAACGAAGGCAAAATGTGTGTGGTTTGAGACCGTCCTTGTTCAAGACTGAATTGTGACAAGTGTGATGTCCCCATAGGAGTACGCTTTCTCAAAAAAGCAATTTTTCCTATGAAAACTTCTCTTTTTTTAATTACTTAAGAAAGAACTGCTTTAACGTTGACGTTATGTGGGAACCTAGCACGAATTCGAAGTCCCAATTGTCAGTCCTTTACACACAGGCCATTTAAATGGCGGAATTGAAATGAGTTGAGGCAGGACCGAATTTACCGCTTTCTTGCATATAGCCTTTTGAATAAACCCCATGCGAGGATCAGATCATTGTTTTACCTTTATGCTTTACTTTGTCTCAAACACCACTACCGGTGGTGCGATTTAAACACCTTTGGCACCCTTGTCCAAGTAAGTGTGCTTTTAACCTTGTTTCTCCCTAACAGCGACATTGAAATGTATCACAAATGAAGTGGAAGACGAACTTCAAAACTGATTTGAAAACGCAGGATCAAGTAGTCAGTTTTGTTTGGTTTAATGTCAACAAACGGGAGAGGGCGAATCGCCTGACAAAAGAAGCCTGCTGCAACGTGGCAATTATATTTCTGAATTTATACCTCTATGTCTGCAAGTCCTTTGATTTTAATAAGACACCCCCATCCCTTTTTATGTATGAACTGCCTTATTAGTTCACCTATTCAGGAACCAGGACAACTTATTTGGTTATTATGTGGATGGTGAGGGGGCAAATGGCACCAACCTCGTGATGGAGGAGGTTTAGTCCATCCCTCGAGGAGAGAACACATTTCAATTCCACCAGAAAAACTTTGACTTCATCTACAAACCCACATTACCACTAGAAGAAAAACAACGAAAATACTACAAATAAGTACACTTAAGAAGGGTACTTGCAGTCAACATTGATTGTCTTATTATTTCTACTACTTGCAGTTTATCTCCATTAAATCTTGCTAATTCTATCAATAAATTAAGTAAATAAGTCACCTCTTGATGAAGTGAGATGAAGGAATGCTTTTTGTCTAACTTCGTCCATTTTGTGAGCCGACTAAACAACCGGGAGCTGTAAATTGATCAAGATGCGGATCTTTAAAAGTATGTCTATGCTTCTCGACGAGTTCAAAGATCCGAAACGTAGTCACTGCTTTAAAAAATACTCGCAGGCTAGAAATGGCGTTTTCATCCCAACTCCAGTAAAGCATCTGGTCGAATGTATGTTGTCTGAAGATCTGCCTTCTATGTGGACTGCATTGAAAGGGAAGATAGTGGATTTACTGATCGCGCGTTGCTCAAGACTAGACGAGGCTTCACAACAAAGGTGTTCCATATGCCAACAGCTATTGGTAAGACCATTTGCCAGATAGCAATCATTTAGAGCAACTTTGCAAAGCTAATTTTCTATCACCCAGGGCCTTATTTTAGCTCTGTCTAACCACCTATTTGGCTTACATTCAGCTACTACTGTCGTGTGCTTCAAAGTGGTCTACGAAAATCCACGATGAGAGGATGGAAAACCCCTCAAGCCCAGTGTTCATTGCCCTCATATCTTTAAGTTTGGCCCGACTGTCCAAAGTAGACGTGTCTTTGAAAACTCGTCTACATCTGACCTCTGCAGTGGATATCTTTATGTGCAGTTAAAATATGATAGTCAGCCAACGAAATCAAGGCGGTTGCCCTTTTCGACCGAACAGATTCTTCATTAATGTATATATCATACAAACTACGAGACCTGAGGAACCCCCATAGTTGTCAAATTGCTACAGAGTCGTACACCACCATCCAGTACGCATGGATAGTCAAAGACTAAACGAGATGTTTGAACAAGGCTTCATAGCTACTGGAGAGATGTCGAGACGCGGGAAGTTAGAGTTGAAGAGCACTACATCCTTTCAACTTCTACCAAGCAGTTCAAAACACCTTGTCGGTTGGTTCAAGATCTGTCTCATACTCCTAACACCAATTTGAATCTCGTTGTTTTTATAAGGTATATATGATCGAGAGTACCCTTATTTGTAAGCCCCGTCTCTCATCATTCTGTCCATTCATGTCGGACATTAACTCATTGCAAACACAATGAAATCGTTTCTTCCTTTCCAGGAGACATTGCCGTCGCAAAATCTGCCCGGTTTGCTGAAATAGATTGATTGCCACAGACATTCCTCCAGGGGTTACTAGAAGTGCTTGACTTGAATCGGTATCATCGCAAACAGAGGGCCTAAGGGATAATTACCATAATTGACAAAAGAAGGAGTGAGTTTTCTTCATATACATTGTGAGGAAGAAAATTCTACTATCTTAAGAATCGGCTGTTTCCGTATGACCAACTGTCGTGGAATGGGAAGCTGAACACTTTGCCAACAATATTGGAAGTAATTCATTTCTGTGAACGTACTCTCACAAACTGCTAGTTTGGACCTCTTTTCGAAGAAATACGATAAACGAATAAGAATCCGGAAATTGAAATAACAAGCATAAAGAAGACATACTATGTACAGTACCACAGATTTATCGCCCAAGTGATCGTCACAGTCGTTACGAACGCATATCTGGCAGAAAGCAACCAGAAAGTTGTACTACCACGGCCCTGAATCTCCTAGGAAATTGTGCTACGCGGTATCTTAGAGAATGAGCACGGAGTCAAAGAAGGAATAATTCATGTGAGTTCCCCTTAGAGGTGAGGAAGTTCTCAATTCCTATACATTCATCGTTAACATCATATAATAAGCTACCTAGAAGGAGGGCAATGCAACACCGACACCATTCATCATAAAGAATCACTCCTCAGATAGTCAGATTTAAGTCGCAGAACTGTATGTGCAATGGGTGTCTTGTGCTGATCTTGAGTGTATTCGAAATATCTAACCTGGAAAAGTGACTCGTCGAGGGTCCTGTGGCAACACGCCTACCCCCTTTGTTGCATTCAGCTCTAGTGGCAATGACAATGACTACTTTAACATAATCAGTAGTTGATAATGAGATGAGAAAGCACAGATCCGTCGGTCAGAATACTACGAAAAAGTTGGCGCTGCTCGGTGTATGATTATATTTGTACAAAACACAAAGTAGTGGGGCAAAATAACATCTAAGCAGAATCGCGTTCCTCTTCTTCATCATCACCTTCTTCCACCGTGGTACGATTTGCCTCACCAGAAGCATGGATTTCGGCAAGCTGGAACGCCTCACCACAGGGTGGGCAAAGAACTTCCACACGCTCCAAAAGGTCACCTTTTTTAAAAAAAAAGGAAACTCAAGAGAAAAGCTTTAAAATGGGATAGGATGAGGCAAGTAAATTACCATTTATACGCGTTGATTTTGCTGCGTCAATTGCCTTCAGGTAGCAGTGGAGGTTTTCTTCCAGCCGCGAGTCATCCCAGGAGAGCTGAATTTTCCAACAAAATGTATGGCTTTATTAGAACGAACTGCTCTTTATAGATTTGTCTATTGTAAAGACTGTCACCGCTGGCGCCTCAAAAAACTGTTTAGGAGTTGCGATAACTCCTTCACTTCTCTACCAGCTGGATAGAAAACAGGCAGACGGGGCTGGGTAGGTCTAAGGCGAGAAAAAATGTGGCAGGGAGGAAAATACGCGAAACCCTACCTCCAATGGAATAATTTTTTTTATTCC